TCACGGGGCTGGAGAAAAGGGCAGGGGAGGAGGCTGGGGCTGGGTGAGCCGCTGCAGCGGGGTCGGGGCTCGGCGCGGGGCTGGCGGGCTGGGGCCTGGCCAGATGAGTCATTCCTTTGAATAGCACCACTGTTAAATAAATAACAGCACATGGAAACGCTGCTGCCGCTGCAGCAGCCTGGCTGGGGAGGGGCCCCGCTTCCAGGCAGCCCTGCAAAACGAGGCTGCGTGCATGTGTGCGTGCCCGCGGGTGTGCGCGTGCGTGCACCGTAGCTGCTCCCTTTTCAGGGATCCTGCTTGGAAAGAGGGATGCGGATCTCCCCAAGGGCTGGTGTTTGCCCGTGCTGCGGGCGGGCACACGTATGTGCATATCCACACGCGGTATTCGCTGCTCCTTGTGGCTCCCGGGGTGAGGACACGGTCTGGTTTCTCCCCGAGGTTGATGCTGGAAGGGGACGGAGGTGGCTAGACCTTGATCCTCTGCAATTCTGGGAGGATTGCCCTGCTCCAGCTGGGATGTCTGAGAGGTGGGACTCTCTCCTGCCACCTCTGCTTCCCGCGGGCCCTGCCATAGCCTTGGCAGCAGGGAAGGAAAGTCCCGCAGGAGCTGGGCATCCATGGTCCTTTCCAGCTGGGACTTTGTTCAGGGTTGGTCCAACCCCCAGGTCTCCAGGTTGGAAGTCACGCTGGCTTTGCAGCTCCTGGTTGCATGGAGCAGTTTAATAGCCCCCAGCCTCGCTGTGCCCAGGTAGGGGAAACTAAGGCCCTGAGCGGTGACGTGGCCAAACCACACACCCCTCCCAAGGAGTCAGACTTGGAGCCTGCACAGGAACCCAGGAGTCCTGTCCCATTTCTGGCCACGCAATAGCGGGAACTCCCTGCCGGAGCGTTATTGCTGCTTCACATCTCCCCCTCCTGCTTCGCGGCCCTGTTTGGCACATCCCCCCATGCTGGGCTGCCCTTTTTCCCGGCTCTCGGCACGTTTATCCAGCTGTGCTGCTGGCAAGGAAGCAGAAATCCAGAAATCCTCTCCTTTCCCTGCCGGTGGAGTCCTGCTTGGCTGCCTGGGAGACGTCGGAGAAAGGAGCCCGGTTCTCCACGAAAGGCTGCTCCCTGCCGTGTGCTCCCATGCTGCTGGCTGCCGGCGTTTGTGGGATTTTAGAGCAAAAGCTACCTTAACCCCCACCCCTATCTGCTTCCTTGGCCACGTTTCACTCGGGTTTGTGCTGCTAGAAATGCCACCGAGTGCCTCATCCGTCCCACTCCCCAGCCAGCTCAGGAGCCTGCCTGAAGCAGACGAGCTGTGGCCGTGCTCGGGGCACGCGGTGGGTCAGCAGGCTCCGTCCTGGCAGTTTCCAGCAAAATGGGGTGCTTTCCTCCCTTTTGGGTACAAAGGACCCACCGGCTCTGGGCAGCACCTTGTAAACTGCTGCAGCTGGGCTTTGGTCCGTGGTGTCCATGGGCGTCCTCAGCGTGGGGCTCAGGCCCTGGGGATGCGCTGGGATGAATTTTTTCCTTTCCCCTGTGCTTGACTCATGTCCTGCTGGGAGCAAACCTGGCCGGCACTGGGCCGTCCTCCCGCAGCTCCCAAGGGTTTCCTCGCGATGGAAAGTCCCCGGAGCTCTCCGCAGCTGGAGGAGGGCTGGTGAAGGTCATCTGCCTTCCCCTCCGCTTGCCTCCCAGTTGCAATCCCTGGGAGAAAGCGCGGCAGAGGAGAGGAAACTTTACCTCTTGGGCAATTTGACAGCTGCGCGAGCCCGGAGATGAGCCTGTGAAGGGAAATTTCTTTTCCCCTTTCTTTGCTTTTTGCTCACATGACCAAAAAAGTTATGGATGTTGTGGGTTTTCTTTTTTTTTTTTCCTGCCTGTGGTTGATTGATCACTTTAGTTTATGACGCTGAAATGCTGTGTGCCCTTGTCCCCCAGGGTGTCCCCGTGGAGGACCACAGACCTCCTGGGCTGATGCATTGCATGTGTTCTCTGCTCGAGATCTGATTTTTGGGAGCAAAGGGGTCATGTCTTAAAAATATTTGGATATATATTTTTTTCCTTCAGCTGAGCTGGGCTGGGGTTATTTATTAACTCCAGAAGTAATAAGCAGTGAGAGACGCGTGCTCCATTGGTAACCCCAGGGGCCTGCCTTGGCCCTTGAACTTTTCAAGGCTTGGAGGACTTCCAAATCCAGGTTTTCCAAGGGTGGTCCCCAGTGAGCTGACTTCAAATCTTATGTTGTGACTTGGCCTCTTGAAACAGAGCCAAAGTTTTAACCCTCCTCCCTGCACAGGGAAAGGAGGCGAGCGCAGGGCAGGCTCTGCCCTGGCGTCAGCTCTCCCCTCGCCTGCGGGTGGGTTTAATTTGGTGACCAGATCCCCACTCAGACGATGAATCCCAGCTAGCAGACAATGAATTCAGGGGTTTCCAACCATGTCCTTCATGGCACTGATGTTTCCCGTATCTGATGGGCTGCAAATTTGAAGTGCTGCTGGGAGGGAGAAATCACAGTTTTTGAACTGCTTCACCCTTTTTGCTCTTTCTCCTGGGGTTTTTCAGCCAGTCCCCACTTTTGCTCCCTAACCCGGGTGTCTTCTCCTTCTCCAGTACCTGCTGAAAGCCAGCGAGAGTCAGATGAAGCAAGGACCAGATTTCCTGCAGAGCCTTATCAAGTTTTTCCACGCTCAGCACAAGTAGGTGCCACTCACTCTCCATGGCCCAGCGAACTGAGATGGGCTGACTTGGCTCCAGGGCCGCGCGGCACCGCTGGCAGCTCTCGCGGGTGGGTGGAGGTGGACCTGGACGGGGGGCACCTTCCTTGTTCTGTGCTCTTTCGAGCTCTTTAATGACGCTGTTAGCGTTTGGGGCTGCACCATCTGGGATGGCACTGGCCTGGGGCTCAGCAATGCACCTTGGCATCCGGTTATAGCTGGGGAGCAGGAACATGCTTTGTTGACTTGAGGAGCTATAAACTTGGCCGCTGGGGCTGTGGGGAAGGGGATTGGCCTGGGATATATATCCAGTGATTTAGTTTCTTGACAGATTTCCAGGGATGAGATAAGCTGAGCAACTCATCTGTTAGCTTTAGAGCTCCTAACGAGTGTGTTTTGAAAAAGAATTAGCATCCCTTTTCCCATTGCATGGAGGAGGCTTGCCTAGCCAGCCTCGTCCAGCTTGTGGGCGTTGGGTCATTTCTTCCGTTTCATGAGTGGGGAAACCGAGGCAGGGAGGAAGCAGTTGCGTTGGCCAGGAGCATGCCCTTGGTTGGGGTTGGGCCACAAGGACCCCAGGGATCTGGCCTTGAGCAGGGAGGGTTCCTAATGAGATGAGGAACAAGCTAGTACTGAACACAAGGCCGCTCCTGTGTCCCGAATACCCCAAACATTTGGGGTGTCCCAATCCTGTGGGCTGGGCTTGGCCTTCAGCAGTGTCTCTCTAGGTCCTAGTAGCAGGGGAGCCGCAGAGCACGAGCAGTTCCTGGGAGGTTGCTGATGCCTCCTGTCACGTTTTCTCTAAATAACCTCTTTTTCTCCATCCTCCCCATTTGCATATCTCCTTAATTGAATTAAATAAATGCCCAGTTTCTTCCAAGATGGCTGGAAGGCTGCCCAGAACCTCTACCCCTTCATTGAGAAGCTCGCTGTGTCTCTTCATGCGGTAAGTCCCCTGTCCTCCTGTCCAACACTGCTCAGACATGACCCCTAAGATGGCATGTGTCCCCCCCGCACCCTGTCCCTCAGCCCCCTGTGCCAGCCTGTGGCACTGAGAACACACACGTTCTCAGCACAGCAGTGACGGCAGCTGCTCCTCTTTCCAGCTCCACCAAGCTCAGGAGGAGGAGGTGAAACAGCTCACGCAGACACGCGATTCCCTGCGGAGCATCCTGCAGCTGGAGAGCAAAGAGGTGAGACCCAGGCACGACGCAGGACCAGCCCGAGCAAACCTGGGAAGGAGGGTCAGGGAGTGCGAGGAGCTGAGAAGTGTGTGGATTTAGCCTGGGGACAAGGCTCAGCAGGAAAAGGGAAGCTGGAGATCAAGGGGGACATCTGCAGAAGCTGGTGGAGCAGGAGGCCTGGGGGGTGCTGGGAGGAGAGCTGGGGGCTGCAGGCGCTCTCATCCTGCTGGGCACATTGCTCGCATATAGGCAGTGTCCCTCAGGACTAGGTCACCCTGGCACAGACACCACAACTGCTTCTCTCGCTTCTTTTAATGCTTTTTTTTCCTGGTGAGCTCAGGAAAACCTGAGCAGGAAGAACTCGGGCAGCGGCTACAGCATCCACCAGCACCAAGGGAACAAGCAGTATGGGACAGAGAAGTCAGGATTTCTGTACAAGAAGAGTGATGGGTAAGGACGAATATAACTTATTCTGAGACCCTCGCTGGCACCATCCTAGCACCTGTGTGCTAGGAGAGCATTCTGCTTGAGGGAGGCTGCAGAGCAACAAGAGTTGGGAGATCCTGAGGCAGAAATGTTTGGGTGAAGTTTTTGTTATCTGTTGTACAGGTCTTCGGTTAAATTTGGTCCTGTCTGGTCTTAAACACATACAAACACTTGGACCATGCAATTTTGCCTAGCTTGGAGGAGACCTGAGAATTTAGAGGAGGGTAGCTGATGGTCAGGGGTTGGTCTCAAACTGCAGCTGGGGAAGGAGGATGGTTTGGAGGTGGTGTCGAGGGGCTCAAAGGAGATGGTTTGGTATCATCAGCCCATTTCTTATGAGAAGACCCTGAGCAGAGGGACAGGGGCCTGACGCAGGGGAGCTCGACATGTTCTCCTCCTGCGTAGCTAGCAGGACACGAAGGCTGGTGCTCTACGTACCCTTCTTGGATGCGGGTCTCCAGGAATAGCAACCCAGTGCCAGGTTCACTCGGAAGTGCTGTGTGCTGTAAGGCTGATAGGAGAGGAAGAAACGCCTTGTTTCTTGGACATGGAAGGAAAAAAGATCCTGGAGGAAGGCGCTAGGATGAAAAATAAAGCCCTTGGAGCCCAAAAGGTCTTCACCTTCTTAAAGCACTTCTGGGAAATGGGCGCTGGCTCACCAGGCTTTGAGCATGTGGTTATGTGCTCTGCTGAAGGCAGACTACCAGATCTGTGATACTGTTTTGGCAGTGTGTGAAGCTAGCGTGGCCCAAAGGTGACAAGTCCAGCAGGACGTTTTGTGCTCTGTGAGTTACAGGGAGCATCCAGAGAGCAATCAGCCTCTGCTGAGGATTTCTGTGTGCAGCGGGAGTGTCGGTGGTTTGAGGGGATGGATGGCTGTGGGTGAGGAGGGCTGTGCAATGATTTCTCACTCCTCCTCCTTCTCTGGCTCAGGATTCGGAAAGTGTGGCAGAAGAGGAAGTGTGGCGTGAAGTACGGGTGTCTTACCATCTCCCACAGCACGGTAAGCAAGGGGGTACTTCAGCCATGAGGTTGTCCTCAAAGAGAAATCTGCTGTCAGACACTGCTCGTGTGCAGACCCCAGTCTGGAGCACAGGATGCCCGTTTGCACGCCGCACATGCCAAATGCGAGAAACCAGTTTGCACAGTCTCTCCTGCTGGATACTGGAGAGGTTTATGCAGGTCAAGGCCAAAGTCTGTTCAAACCCTTCCAGCGCTTGGTTTCTCGTGTGTCCTTTTGGAACGTGACACAGAGGCCTTGTCTCCTTCCCGTCTTCCAGAGGGTCCTCCCTTTAGTCTGAAAGCCCCATCTACACCCTGTGGGTCTCAGTAGGAAAGCGAGCCACTGACCTGTGACTTCTAAGTACTACAAGACCAGATTGGGTACACTTTTTCTGTAGGGACCATCTGGTCCTTGAATATATCCTATGAGGGTTTCTGTCTGTTTGATATCGAGTTTAGTTTTGCACATACCATCTTGAAATCTCACCTTGAAAAACAGGGGGTCAACAGTGCCTGAGCCCAGGACTGGAAACGCCACATGGGGAGCTCCCTGCTTGCATCTCTCGTCCCCCGTGATGGCTGTGTGTCACTGTGAGAGGGTGGTGGGTGAGAGGCGTTTTTGGCAGGGACAGCAAGATGGGTGTTGAGGTTCCAGACTAGGCCAAGGGGGATGAAGCGATTTTGGAGGGAGCTGCTGCCCTCTGGCGGTGGAGGGCCTGAAATGCAGCGAGGAAGGCGGAAGAGGGAGCGCACGGAGGGTCCGAAAGCGTCTGACTTGCCTGGGTAGCTAGAGCAGAGGGACCATCAGGAGCTGGTTGCCCTTCTGCTGGAGGGGTGGCTGCTGTAGGAGATATGTGGCTGGCGATGCACATCAAAAGGCATATCTAAACAACAGAGACTCGCGCTGTTTTCCAGCTCCCTTCTCATCCTAGTCCTTTAACCTGCCTCTGACCTTGCTCCTTGTAGATAAACCGTCCCCCTGTCAAGCTGAACCTCCTGACCTGCCAAGTGCGGCCTCACACCGAGGAGAAGAAGTGCTTTGACCTGGTGACCCGTGAGTGACAGGGAGGGAGACGCCGGCAGGGTGCGTGCCGCGCGATCCTCCCTCTCGCCGAGCCAGTTGGGCGTCTGGCTGGGAGTTACCCCGGGCAGCTCCCTGGACTGATGATCTGGAGGTGGCGAGGGGTGGGTGTGTTTGATCTGGAGGCAGCTGGGCTGGAGATGTAAACTCTCTTTTCAAAGGAAGTTTCTCAAAACGAGCCCAAGCGGGTTTTCCCAGCTCCCGATGGCCCTCTGCCAGCTCTGCCAAGGTGCCTGGGCACACTTTGCCCTTTTAATCCGGCACTGGGCGTCTCCCTGGCTGCCTTTATGGAGGAAGGACAAATCCGTCCAAGGAGTAGGGTGAGATCTATCAAGCTGAAGATGTTTGTGACCCAAAAGAAAGCGCAGGGCAAGGATCTGGTGATGAAAATGTGGCATGCAGTGATTTTTTTTTTTTTTTTAAATGCAGCTCTTGGGAGTAGTTTCAACCCCTACCTGTCTTGGCTATCCTGAATCTCCCCCTCACCTTTTTCTCCTCTCCTCCTCCCTGCAGACAACAGGACATATCACTTCCAAGCAGAGGATGAACAGGAGTGCATTGTGTAAGTGGCGTGGCCCGTCCCTGCCCACAGGGTGAGAGCAGCTCTCATCGCGGATGAAGCAGCTGCCTGGGATGCGGGAGATGCAGATTCTGCTCCGGGCTCTGCCCACTGGCTGAGCAAATCTCATCCCTTCTCTCTCTGCGCCATGGACGGCTCTCGGCAAAAACGCTTCGAGACCCCTCTAAGAGCAGAGGGTCGGCACGGCACGAGGGCCGTTGGCCCTCCGGCTGCCCGGTCAGGGTGGTCGCAGGCTGCCTGACCCGTTCTCCCTCCTGCCCAGCTGGGTCTCCGTGCTGCAGAACAGCAAGGACGAAGCGCTGAGCAACGCCTTCAAGGGCGAGCCCAACGGCAGCGCGGCCGCGGCGGGCGGCGTGGCGGACGGCGGCTTGCAGGAGCTCACCAAGCTGGTTATTAGCGAGGTGAAGAACATGCCGGGAAACAAGCAGTGTTGTGACTGCGGGGCCCCGGG